AAAATAATTTGAAAAATCATATAGCTATGAATTAGTTCATTTCAATATTTGAAAACAAAAATGATTATAATTTATTTCTTCCATTGATATTGTCAAAAAAAATATCTTCGAATTAAATAAAAGTAATTATTTTAATACGAGTGTATAGTATGTATATATGAGGAATCTTTCTGCAATTTTTCAAAGTTCTTATAATGATACATGCTGGAGCAGGAACGAATCCCGTCGTGAAATACTTCTATAAAACGCATGTAGACTATTAAATTTCATGGTTATGTTAATCAGCACGCACGAGACGTTCTGCAAAGATAGAATTATGGACGCTTTTCATTGTTAGCATCACGAAGAAACTATAATTAATTCGGACGAGGAAGTGCCGAGGATTAGGCAAGCGGGTTTAGGGTGACGCGGTTGGGTGAATGCCTTCTTATATTAATCTTTTCTATTTAAACGCACAAAATCTAGATTCTTTCTTACTTCCATAAAAACAAGATATATCTAAACAAAAAATTATGGGTAATTGTTTTATATGTATATAAAATTTGAAAATATAATTTTTTAAGGATAAAGTTAAAAATAAAAAAGTAAAGAATAAAATTTCAGTAAATACTTTATATAAATTTTACAAACATTTTAATTGCATATGGAGATTGCTAATTCTGTTGCAGATATATATATTTTATGAAGATTATCTCTCTTCCGCGATTTAATTGGCCGTGTTACGAAAAAAAAAAAACACATAACAAATTACGACCCCACTTGTGTTTTTCGCAAAATTATACACATATTGTTCTCAATCGTTGCTACAAATTGCCGTAGAATTTCCACGAGTTTTCACAATTGCGTGCACTCTTGCAGGAACTCTGCATATGTTATTTCCTACAAGATACCTTGTTTCCATTTCTACGGTCCCATGTCGAGCGACGCACTTCGCTCTGTGAAACTATAATTATATCCCGTACATTGTATGCTGGTAATTATCAATTATCGTGCAGAATAGAAACGTCGAGAATTATGCTCGGAGAGATTTATTATCCTTACCCGTAATCCTTAAAATTAACTTTGACGTAAAGTTATAACAACGTGGATTAGATGTTTTCGACATTTTACCGTAAGGATAACACATTACGTGATATACGTAAACTGTAAGCTGTGTATAATATTTTGTCATTGTTTGTTGCAACATTACTAGCACTTTCAGTTAATCTTCATTAATATACTCGTATAATTACATAGTCAAATCTAATTGATTAGATATATTCTAATATATATTGACATATATCAATTATATTTAATTGCTTCTTGATAAACGATTTAGTTCATTAAATATGAGAATCAATAATATTACAAATTCAAATATAAAAGTTATAGACGGAAATATGTTTTTCAAATTAGAATATTTTTAAATAAAATACATGCAGCCTTCCAAATATCGTTTACAAATTACATGTGTTTCTCTTCTTCTCATGTATCTACAGCAGAAGATATTTTACCTGCTGCAGCACTTTGCATTTTTCCAGATTTATTTTAGTCTGCACATTTCTTTTTTATAAAAAAGATGTAATCCTACTATCCTGAAGGATCATATTTTCGTTGTTTGGTGCCGTGTTGGCTTTCAGGTTGGCCTGAATACCGGACGAGAGGCGCGTAAGTAGAAGGGGGGAATGAATAGTCAGTCAGTCGCACAGGCCTCGTTCCTGATGGCAACCGGCACAGCGGTCGTTACCTGCCGAGGTAGTGGTAGCAGGGAATGGCAGGTGGGGGAGCAGAATACTTGGATGACTTCCTGCCAAGGAACAGGCGTTTCAGTCCTCAAGTAAGAACGTCTGACGGCGGTTACAGTGGTCTGCGAGAGAAATCGTCCACGAGTTTTACCAATGGACGCACGAGCACCATTACATTAATCCCGTTCGAAGATACCCGGAAGAGTACAGATTTTCGCACGTCTTTATTCGATTCTTTACTCATTTCCGTGTTTCGAACAGTCGATTGCGTTCAGTGCTTGAAAAAAAACTGAAGAGAGGGTCGCACCCTGAAATAATGTTTCGTCTGAGGTGCAATCGGTGAACTTTTCTAACGGAGTGCGCTTGTTGCGTATTGATTATTTATTGTTCCAAATCGGAGTAATACCGGAACAATTTCTTTGACAGTTTTTGCGGAACGAAAGAGCGTTCAAAGTCAGAAGGTTCATGTTCGCGTTCATCAACAAAATGGAATGCAGAATGCTGTGTTTCCTTTTCATCATTCTAGCCGCCAAAGGTACATGAATTCTTTTTAATATTAATTCGTATCAGTTAATAATATAAATATGTATTCATTAATTTATATAAAAAATTGCTAAATTATACTAGGAAGCATATTTATGAGCAATTGGAATAATGTGATTTTCAAAGATATTTAAATAAAAATATTCTTAAAGTCACTGCAAAAAGATATTTTTTGTTGTATTCATTTCAATTAAATATAAATATATAGATCGATATATGTACATTGGTATATGTATATCTAATTAGATTTGACAGATTTAACGGATTCGTAATTATTTACACATGTATATACATAATTTTAGCTTCTTAAAAATAATAGCTGAAGGGTAAAGAATTGATTGAAAATATTTTTTAACATAAAGATATAATAAAATAATATTTTTAAAATACTCTTTTAAATAATAATTGTTATTTAAGCAATATATATTATAGCAATATATAGCAATAGATAGGAAAGATGAATTATTGAATTTAATATTTAATAGATAAATTCCGCTTTTGAATTTACATGTCTCTTTAAAGAACTATAAATTATATGTTTTTTATTATTATTATTTATATTATAAGATAGAAAGCTTTTCTATTTCTCGCGATAATATTTATGTTTTTGAATAACATATGTTAAATATTTGAAGATCATGTTTGTTTTCACAAACAGTCATGTTTATGTAATTTAGTTGTAAGCATGTTACTGCAAAAAGATATTTCTTTTGTACTGTATTCATTTTAATTAAAAACGGAACAGTTCTACTTTACTCTATATATAGATAAACAAAAAACTTATATATTATAGATATTTGTATTGCATAAAATAAAATGCGATATAAAATCGGTCACTTTCATGATTGTCTTAATCGCACTTTTGTGTAACGCTTCGTTATGAATTTTTTCATAAAATGTAATTGGATAGCTTTTTAGAAATCCTTAATATAGTAGATAAGCATTTCGCAAAGATAGATTAATCTCCCGTGGAAAATATAATGGCTCATTAACGCTCTGAGGAAATTACAATAATCATTACCCCTGCACTTGTCGCTTTCTAAACGCCAAGATATTTAATGAGTCGACTGTGTGTCGATTATGAGACAATGCTTATAGTTCGTAATGACATTCTCTACTTTACGTTCCATTGAAACATTTTATTTTGCGGAACCGGCAACGAAACAATCGCTAATCAAGCACGTGTATACAATACGATGTTATAAAGTAATCTATACGTTATAGATTAATTATACGATCTTGTAAATAATGTAAATATTCATGTCAACGTTAAAATTCTATTTCAGTTAATTCATGCGAATTATGACGTTGACACAGAATACAGATATTAAAAATGATAACTTAATTCCTTGAATTAAATAACATTTTGTTATTTTTAACTTTTATGTGTTATCACACTGGGTATGGTCAATGCGATGTTGCAAACGCTGAAGCATTTTTTAACTGGTCAGTTTGTAAAATTCTTTCTTCTAATTGGTCCATCAAATGCTTCAAAGCAACATATGTGAAATTGGCACCTTATCTTTTGGCATCGCAAGTTTTGATAAGAGTTTCATTGGCACCCGCAAGTTTTACAGTTCCTAATAAGTTTTATAAATAGTTCCGTTGATTTAGCTAAAAAAAATAACATTTGAAAATTTGCGGTGCTAACTTCCTGTGGTAGGTTCGAAAAAATCAATTGAAAACTATGAAATATTATAGTTCTCGGAGAGAGTTCTACAGTTCCTGATAGGTTTTAATAATAGTTTCGGTTTCTAAGTTATTTTAAATAATAATTAAACCCGCGCGCTGATACCGCACCACAAGAATAAAATACATTTTCACAGCCAGTTTCAGCCGATTTGTTGGCATTTTCCTATAGTTTCTACAATAGTAGACGACGATTTGTATAGATATTCGATCGGAGTTCTTTAAATACTTTCTAATAATAATTAAATTTGTGAACTGGCACCGCACCACAAGAGTAAAGTATCTTTTAAGAAGGTTGTAAGGATACATAAAACACATACCAATTAATATTTTACGCTTTAAACAAACTACACATATGTGAGTTGTGTTGATAATATTGTTTTTATTGAGCAATACATTTTTATAGATTATTTATATTATTTGTTATTAGTTTTATTATTATGAGCAGAAATTTTAAAAATCTAAATTTTTTTATATAAATGTTTCAAGTATTAAAAATGATTTATGCAAGTTTCATTAAAATTCACCAATTATTTTATAACAAATAAATATTTTGTTTATTTACTAAACAATTAATGTCTTCATTTTAATGTAACTTTGCATAAATTTTTTTGTATGTATAAAATACTTATATAAAAAAATTGAGATTTTTATCTTTATATAATACATTTTCATATATTTCTATTAGAGAAGAAATTTAAAAAATACTTTTTATTGAAATAACTTTTAATCCAGATGGATCAACTGTCTCTAATTTTTTTGTATTATTTTTAAAGACAATTTAGAATAATCTGCAATTTTCTCAAATAATTCTTAATATATTGCATATTTGCCTTACAACCTACTTAAAAGCCAGTCCAATTGATTTTTCAGCGTTTTCCATTAATTTGAACGCTTCTGTAAGTAATATAAGGATATTAACTGGTTGTATGTAAGGGAAGCGGCAACTGCGGTCAAACTTAGAGAAAGTATTCTTTTACAATTTTTAAGTACAAGTTCTTTTAATATGTTAATGAGCATCGATTACTTTCGTATTTGCAACACAATCAAACTGAAAAATAATAATTTTACAAATTAAATTTTTTTGTCAACTTTATGGTAGCATTTTAAATTTGTAAAAAAATTATTGCGAATTTAAAGAAAATATACGTAAAATAATATGATAAAAATTGCATATTCATTATTTCGGCATATGAATGCATACATTTTTCGAATATCGATTTGTTAAAATTTATATTTGTACACCATTTGAAATTAAAAGAAAATTAAGGGAAAATTAACGTGTTGAATTGTCGAAAGAGTCATGTAATATTACATATGTTTAGTATGCTTATGTTACATTTCTAAAATATATGAAATCTAATAAAAGTAAAATGTAAAGTAAAAATAAGTATTTAAAGAGCAGAACTTTGAACGAAATCTATAAAAATCGTCGAAACTATTGTAGAACTATAGGAAAATGTCAACAAGTTGGCTGAAACTTGCTGGCCGTAAAACGGTACTTTTCTCTTGTGCGGTGTCAGCGCGCGGATTTAATTATTATTTAAAATAATTAGAGACTTAGAGAGCGGAACTATTGTTAAAACCTATCAGGAAATGTAGAAGTAGTAGTTCTCTTCGAGAACTATAAAATTTCATAGTTCATAGTTTTCAACTGATTTTTTTCGAGCCTTGCGGTGCCACGGGAAAATTAGCACCGCAAATTTTCAAGTGTTATTTTTTTTAGCTAAATCAATGGAACTTATAAAACTAATCAGGAACTACAGAATTATTGCGGATGCCAATGAAACTCTTATCAAAACTTGCGGTGCCAAAAGATGAGGTGCTAACTTCACACACGTTTCAAAGCATTTGTGCATTTGTAGCGAGACTTTGACTACAGCCACTATAAATTAATCGCTTTCTGTGATTTATTTTAAAATAAATAAGATTAACATCCTTTTTAATATACGCACTTAATATATAATAAATTAAATTTGTGTTAATATGTTTTTTTTAATATATTAACAATATTTTTTTGAACAATATTGTTTAACTTCATCGTTTTAATTAATTCAGCGACATTTATATAATTCAACGCAGAATTGAAAAAGTTATTTTACAACTTATAAGTTATTTTTTATTATAAAAATTGAGTACAGTAAGTTCGTTATTTTATTTTCTATATTATATTTTATCATTGCTCCAATTTTGTATTACTTTTTGTACTTAATTTCTATGACAAACACAATAAGACAACCTAAAAACTAACTTAAAAAGCAATTTTCCCAACCTTGGTAGGGAAACTGAGTAAGAGCAATAGCGATTTATAGAAATAATTCAAAATAAACTAGGTATAATTTAACGTTATGAATTTAATAGTATATACAAAAGCTTTTCATAAAATAAAAATGGATTTTATAAAATAGAAAAATTTGTCTACTTCTTAAAATAATAATTTTATTTACATCAACGGTAGAAAAAAAATATTTGTAATATTTGCAAATTGAATGTTAAATAAGTGATTGCATTTCTCAGAGGTTTAATGTAATGAGTATAAATTTTTCTATTATAACTGATAGAGTTATCACATGTGCAATTCAATTCGGGGTCAAGATCATCCCACGCTCGCGGCGTTATTGAACTTAACAATAGATTACCGAAGCACCCATTTACATACACAATTTGTAGACGAGAAGTATCTGAAAATAAGTGAAGTTTGCTCGCTAATTAGCGCATGATGTATGTAATGCGTGCGCGTCGTAGTTTACGTGTATTTCATGAAAGCATACACACCAATTCTTCTTTATCTGATCTAAAATTTCACTTAGAGTTAGTATCCATGACGACAAACTGGATTTACGTTTAATGATCATTTAAATGATAACATAATCGGTAACCAGTAAAGTGTCTCCGATTTAATTAATGATAATTAGCGAAAAATGATTTTATAAATAATCTGATTATTCTGTAGAAATTCTCTTAACTTAATATTGTGTTGCGATTATCTTACGGGATAGTCCGTCCATAGATTCAATTTCTATTTCCCGTCCGGTTAAGCGAAATACTTCTTCAACGTCGTGTTAACTGCAAGACCACCGCTACGCTCGTCTGGAGAGGCACGTGCTCGTAGTTGCAGGTATAAACGCGCATCTCGTAAATGAGACGTGGCGTACTCACGCAGCACGCGTTCTCATCTCCATCGAGCACGCAGGTAATCGACTTTCCACGATCCTCGGTTTTTCCACGATGTGGAAAGTGGCCAGCGAAACGGTTTTACCGCGGCAATAACGCGTGAGAAATTTGCAAAGATTCGCAGCCCTA